GGCTCCAAAAAAAGAAGGAAAAAGAATAATTTTTTGCAATACACTTCCCCTGTGCTGCAGCACCCCTTCTGGGAATCACTGGACTGGAATTATGTGACTAAGGATAGATTTTACTTGCTTACAAGAGGGAGGTCGGAATCTTAGAATGACATCATTACTGATGTCTTCAGAGGCCTTCTCATTGTGTAAGAAGGATTTGTTTTCTCATCTTTTCTAACTGTATTGGATTGGACTGAACTGGATTATAATTGTACTTTTCATTTTTTTAAGGGTGTCTGAGTACCATGCAATCCATGATTTCCATCCTGCAAATTAATTTCTGCAGGTGGACCTCAGCTGCTGTGTAGCTTCACAGTGAAGCTAGTCAAGATGTGCCCAGTGCATGACATGCTGATACTGATCATCTATTTGTAGGATCCATTTGCTCTTCTTATGCAGTGCAGTCATGTTTTTCCATTTTTGTCCTGAAACCACTAAAATGGAAGTTGGCCCCTGGGGAGAGAACTGTGATGCTTGCCTAATCCTTTCAGTTTAACTGCTGGATACAGTGACATAAATATGGTTATTCCTGTTTTTTGTTATGAATTAGAGCAGGGCTGCCCAACTGCAAAGCAGCAGAGGGCCACTTGCAGTATGGCTCGCACCAGTAGGGGCAGCATTAACAGGGACCATGGGCTCCCCCTTTCTCCGCTGCACCATGCACATGGATGGGCACTCCCAACACAGTGTGCCACCCCCGCTGTCCTTTAGATCCCTGTGGGTTCCCCTCTGGCACTATGCCAAATAGGCACTTCCATCTCCTGCAGCACTAGGGCTGTGCGAAGCTTCGGGTGCTGATTTGATTCGGAGGAGATTCGGTCCGATTTTGTGGCTGAATGTCCCAATTGAATCAGGACCAGTAAAAAGGTCTGAATCGATTCAAAGCTTTCCAAATAGATTCAAAAAAGATTCAGAGAGCTTTGATTATTTGGGCAGTCTCTGCCTGCTGTAGCAGAGAGCTGGAGCCAAACTCGGAGCTGGTAAATAGGGGGCAGAGGAGGGGGCGCTTGTAGGATGGGAGAGGGAACCATGGGGGGGACCTCTGCCAGGCCTCATCCCTTGCCTGCTCCCCCAGCCCCCCTTCCACCACCCGCTCCTCCCCCTCACCCCATGGCTGCTCCGCCCACCCCAGCTCCC